CCATGATTTGTAGTCAAGACAACGAAATCGAGGCAGCCCAGTGTAACGGTAAGAACAGTTGAGGAGCAAGGCTGTCCGCATTAGATAAATTTTAGCATGACACACAGGAACAAATAGCTAAGCGGTTGATTCATAATTTGAGTTAAAGTAGCCAAAGTAAAATGGATAAACGACTAGAGTTGGCAAAATAGGAACAAGAAGTATCAATGATAAATCCTCACAAATCCCGAGGCGCTAGATTAGAAAGTACCCTCAAGTTAGTTTCATCTGGATCATTAATATTGCTTATCCATGCGAATAATGTACAAACTATGATTCAAATGGGCATTGCAATCGTATAGGAAAGTTAAATGCAGTGAGAAAATAAAGTATGAATGAGTACATGAGGCGTATGATGGACGAATATGCATAGATCAACCAAAAGCCAACCTTTGATCTGATCCACCGAAACGCTCAAGAGCTTGATTTGCGAGTTTCATGAGCAGCTGCTTTTGACGGCGGTTGTTTTTTTCAAAGGTAGATGCAGCACGTTGTCGGAAGAGTGGCCAAGCGTCATCTACTGGCAGATACATGCTACCCATTTCGAGCAGACCAACTAAAGTTGCTGGATGGGGAAACCTGAGCAAAGAAGATTACAAAGATATAGATTAGTCGAAGTGTTTAATAGAATGCAAAACAGTAAAATCTGTTGAAGCTACCAATTGTAGCGATGAAATTACATTTATATCTTCCACAACTGTATATTCTTTGAAGTTTCCCTGAGCTTATCCCACCCAATCGGCACGACATGCTTCGTCTTGGATACATTCCTGCTTGAACCGTTGATTAAAAGCAAATATAAAAGTACACAATATTTCTTTCTTACAGACGAATGGATCTTAGACTAAATTGTTTCACTCTCCATTCTCATAACTGGCTCACACTTTCTTCCCCCATATACCGAAAAAGCATTTTTTTAAAATCCAGCCATTATGACCAAGAGCTATTGCTTCCGTAGCATTCGCTTCTGAAGTTTTAGCAGCACCTGCTAACTGTGGTAACTCATAAGCTTTTTTATCAAATTTACGCACTTACAGCCAAGTATGCTGCATCCTTCCAGCTCTGCTCCCGAGTCTTCAAAAGATAGATAAACACTAACTATCCTGAGCCCCAGCGACATCTCGAAAATCCCCCGTTCTATATACTTTTCCTCATACAACCAATACAGTTCCGGCGGAACTAGTTTATTGACAATTGCTTTTACAATTAGTTTACCATAGTCTTCTATCTTTTTGGTTTATATGGTTTGTACTGAAGTCGGATATCTTCCTATTTGACGTAGCCCTATTGGGACCTCGGCACAAGATATGCTGAAACCATAAACATCGACAGATAAAGTCAGATACAAATGAGGCAAGGCCAAGATAAAATCGGGGGTCAACCGGACACTACATGCCGGCAAGATTAAACAATAGTATTGACCGAAATCGAAGGAGATTGTCACAGAAATAGTGTCTAAAAGAATGTTTAAGTAAAGGCAATCGACAGCCGGTCAAGAGAAATCCGCTATCGTCTTTCGGCGAGATCGATCATCGAATCTCTTCAGCAAGAACCTTTACTCGAAAGAAAAGCTCAACAATTATGAACTAAAGGATTCCTCAGAGTAACTTTTCTTAGCAAATAGTATGGCTTTTTTTTCGCGTCTTAAGTTGCATTTAAGTAAATTTCTTGAGCTAAGGATCATTGCAAAATGTACCCAAAACAATGAACAAAACATAAAAAGAAAGTAATACAAAAGCGGCTAAGCAAAGACGCAATTACCAGTTGAAATAAAATATTTCAATTAAGATACGCTTCAAAGTGGTAGCTGTAAGTCGCAGAGATAGCGACGGTGCTAACAATAAATAGGCGGAAAATTTCCATACCTAAATAAAGGAATGCAATGAACATATAGCCAAGACATCGCCATTTAAACAAGCTCTTAAAATTGACTCAGTACAGCTCTGTGACAGAATCCAAACTGGGTTAAAAAGATCCAATAATATTTACCAAAGCAACTGACTTTAAATGCGCTATAGGAGGTAAATAAGATAAAGCTTTGAGCAACTATCAAACTTGGACGCAGATAACAAAAAGTAAAATATATTTAAAGATATGAATACAAAGATGGTGTGGCCTCCGGTATTGTCGCAATCTCCATTCGATTTATAGAAGTGGGTTGACCTCGTTGTCGCAACTTGGTCTTAGTGTCCGGGAGACTTAGTAGAACCAACAGAGTCCGAAGTCCACTGCCATAGTAGTTATTATAATTCCCAGCATCAGACAGTGAAATTGGTACATTCTCAAACGTTTCGCCGGCACCGTAGTCGGCATCATCAGTCAGTGCCGCGATTCTCCGCATCAAGATGCGAACTCGTCAAGAAGACAAACGAAGTCAATCCTTCCATCAAAGTTGTCGAAAATGGTTACACTATCACTCCTCTTTCTGTCCTGGCCCATCTACCTACTCTTTGCCCTGTTTTCCAACTCCCGCCCTATCACAACCTCTAACTTGTTAACATTCCACTCGTCAAAAGGTGCCCTTTTTTGGCAAATTTAGTTTGGCCTCATTATACCTACTATTCACCCTGGCCATCTCTCTCTCTCTCTCGATCGGCTAGTCCGGTTCATACATTATATTCGGATCCACCTCATGGTCTCGTAGATGCATTGCTTATCTTTCTGGTTGACCGGTTTCATTCGGTTCCAGTCCCAGTGTGCGTTTCACTCGAGGCGCTATTTCACTAGGCCCTAGAAGCATGTACACTACCGCCTCATCAAACAGAGCCTTGGCTCTGATCGCCATGCTTGCAGATATCAGGCATTGCCTTCACGAGTTGTCTTCCAGTTGTACTGGTTTATTTGAAACTGACATCACTCACTGACAACTTCTTCGCTTAATTGCCGAAAATCCCCACCCCCCCTTTCCTCATCGCAATCTCTTTTCCTCCGGTTAGTGATAGTCCACTTTTTACTGGCCTTGCTCTATTCTTGTTTTCTCAGAGTTTGCTTAATCAGTAGGCTAAGTTATTGCTAACTCTACCTTTCT